TTCCCACTGGATCCACAATATGTCCTTCTGAGACTCATGGGCCCTCCATTTGAACCTTAGCTCCATGCTTTACATCACTCTGAAGACTGTTTTCCTGGTGGCTATTATTTCATCCAGAAATGTGAACAAGCTCCATATATTTGTACCTAAACCTTTCTATATGATGTTCCATAGGAACTGAGTGGTCATGAGAGCTTACCTGAAGTTCATCCCTAAGGGGCATTTCAGAATTTTATTTAAACCAGTCAACTAACTTGTCTGTCTCTTCCCAAAGCCACCCTAAGTCACATGGAAAAAGAAAACACACACATTAGATGTATCCAGGACTTAGTAAGTTGATAGACTATGTTATTCTATCTCTAGCCACTGGATAGGATGTTCATGAAGATGTCTCATCACTAAAGAAGTTGGCTGTGGAGCCACTTCCGTCAAACATCAAGGCTCTTTTCACAAGAACAAAAGCAGCATCCTCTGTTTGGTTCAGGAATGTGCCAGTACTAGAATGTGGAGTAACCTACTGACATGTCAAACAATGAGCCTTGAACTTATGCATCGAGTCAGATGCCACATTCAGCAAGGCAATACTACAATCGCTGTTTCACTGACATGCTGAAACTCTTCACTCCCACTGTCCTGAGGGGATGCTGCTTGCCATTCACCTACACAGTGTTCTGCACTGACACACACTCAAAGAAAGATACCTTAGCCTGCAGTAAGTGTGGCTGTTTCAGGTAATGTGGTCCATGTGGATCCCATGACCCACCCTCCAACCCTGCTTTTCAGAGACTTCGGATAACATGTGCTTCAAGTTACAAGAGAGGACAGGGAGGGTCGCAGGAACCCTGCCTTTTATACTCGCACACGGATGCATTAGGAGACAGAATGTGCCTGCGCAGCCCGAATGGACACTGCCAGCTAAAGACACTGATCCCAGGTTGCTGTACAGCGGGGTCCATATTTACAGCATCTTGAAGATGCACAGTTGCTGAAGGGTTACTAACCGTTCCTTATGTTCAGGAGATGATTCTGAATACAAAGAATAAAGAGGCCCCAAATGAAAGTTTAATCTCCGATACTTAGTCACTTTGTATTCATAAATACATTTTCTGATTTGCTAAAGCTAATTGTTCTTTCTAATAATGGCAAGATGATCCTGGCTTTGTTTCAAGGCAAAGGTTCATGCAATTAAATCTCAGCAGCAGAGGCCTACAAAATGGGCACTAAAACATCAGTTGGCATGTGACCTTCAGCTGAACTGTTTCATTAAGCCTAAGAGCTTGGAGAAAATGTTTGCTGAATAAAGTCATTCCTAATTAATATGAAAATGTCGAAGATTTGCCCGCCATCCTTTTTACCCCTTTCTGGCTAATGCTTAATTATATCTCTAATGACCTGCTAACATAAAAAGCCAAGAGCTGTATTTTTTTAGGACACGCGATGAAAATATTGCAGCAACATTTTGCCAAGTTGATCTATGCTGCTGTTTGCAATATTTCACATTTCTCTTGCCCTCCCAAGTATTTATTTGGAAGGTAATGGATAGTCATTATGTTATGATTATTGTAAGTAATTATTTACACTGGTTGCCATTAAAAATTTTCCTATACTACCTTGTATAACTGGACAGTAAGCACAATCTCAGTGCAATGTTTGCATTCCACGAGGTGTAATAGTTAACTCGAACTAAGGACTTAGTTAGAGTTAACATTTGACTGCCACGTGTAGCTGCGAGCAGTTAGTTCGGACTAAGGGGATTTAAAAATGGCGCCCTGATGGGAAGATGCAAATAAAGCCCGGGATATTTAAATCCCGGGCTTCATTTGCAACTTAGAATGCCTACATTAGCCTCCCTACTTCGAACTAAGGGGCTAGTGTAGACATACCCACAGTTATCTAACCCTAGGCTGCATGATTATCATCTGTTCAAAAATGGTTCTCTTGATCCATTTGCCAAATTATGCCATGGGATTTTGTTGTTGTTTGAGTTTTTAGGGACTAGGATGAAACAACCAAAGATTTTCAATCATATATACCTGAAAAAAATATTTTAAAAGCTATAAAGACAGTTTATGCAAAGTAACTACTCTAGGTAATATGTTTAAATTCTTTCCCCCACAGAACAAAAAAACAGCATTCTGTGACCATCTCTTTCTTAGTTAGCTTACATTGAATAAATCCTAGCTCACTCTATACACGCCGGCTGTGTCTACACTGGCACCCTTTTCCGTAAAAGGGATGCTAATGAGACACTTCCTTTCAAGTAGGAATAAGGGATCTTCCGGAAAAGGGCTTATTTTCCACAAGATCCCGTCTAGACTGGCGCTTTTCTCCGGCAAAACCCCGAGCCGGAAAAAAGCGGCAGCCATGTTCATGCAAATGCCACGGGAGATATTTAAATCCCCCGCGGAATTTGCAATTCCAAAGTGTCTCATTAGCATCCCTTTTACGGAAAAGGGTGCCAGTGTAGACACAGCCCCCGTGTGTGAACGAGTCTAGATTGGCCACACGGAGATTGCCACCCTCAGTGCAGACTGCAAAAAATAGAGCAGACAATCCCCCAAACTGGTGGTTTATTCTATGGGTAGATTCACTAAGCTAGTAACAAAAGAAATTCTGCAGTACCCACTGGTTAATAAAATGTGAAACACAGTCCCCTTTAGGCAAGCCAATCCTTGGCTCCCATCTAGACAACCAAGTCTCATAGGGTATGTCTACACCTAGTTCGAACTAGGGTGGTTAATGTAGTCATTCAAAGTTGCAAATGAAGCCCGGGATTTAAATATCCCAGGCTTCATTTGCATCTTGCCAGGCGCCGCCATTTTTAAATCCCCGTTAGTGCGGACTCCGTGCCCGCGGCTACACGCGGCACGGAGTCGGTAGTTCGAATTAGGCTTTCTAATTCAAACTACCGTTACTCCTTGGGGACCAGATCCAGGCAAGTCAGGGACCACATCCAGCCCCCAGTCCTGAGGTTCCCCAACCCTGACTTAGACCTTTCCTGTTAAAATTTCAGCAGAGCTGAGATGAAAGGATCAGGCCTAAGCAGGGGTGATGCACTGGGGGGCACAAGGAGACACAAGCCCCACCGAATGCCATGGGTGGGAGAGGCTGGCCAGCAGCTGGTAGGGGAATTAGCAGGGGGAAGGGAGCACTTGCACCAACAGTATGGGCCGACCTTGTCCCTCTGCACTCACCGGCAGCAGCAGGAGAAGAAGAGCTGCTTTGATTCCCTGGCCATGCCGCTCTGGGAGAGGTGGCGGGACTGCCCCCGCAATCCCCAGTGAAAGTGGAACGACATAGCTGGGTGAGCAAAGCAGCTGGGGCCACATTGCTCTGCTTCCCCTGAAGCTGCCGGAGAGTGGAAGGTGGTGGATCTTTGCTGCCGTCACTGGCCCCTCTGTGGGGAAAGAGGGACAGGTGGGTCCAGCATTCATGGGGACATGGCTTTAAGGCCTGCTCCCTGCATATACTGGTTCCTGTCTCCCCTTTCCTCCCCTCCCTGCTGCCTCTGTGTCCAGGGAGGGGGGCAGCATATAACCATGAAGGTTAACCAATGAGCCCGGGTTCATCAGTTAACTGTGTACATGGTCACACTGTCACATTCCAATCCTGGCTACTTTTATACTTCTTGGCATTCATATTAGGTAAACATTAGTGATGGTTCTGGGCCTGGCATATTGCCAGGCTCTTTCTGAGTATCCTCTTGATTTCCCACCAGACTAACTCTCACACACTTGAATTCTGACATAATTTTTGTGGCTCATGTGTGAACAAAAAGTATATATATATATATATATATATACTTGAAAGTCCGGAGTCCCAGCATTCAGGGCTGTGAAGCATTAATCACTGCAGTTTATAAGATACTGGTTTTTAAAAATGGTGTCAGAAATGATGTGGTAATAAAATGCACAATGGTAATCAGAATGACATGCTTTTAAAGGCCAATGGCTTCTGATGTGCCACTGTAACCTGCCCTCAAGCAGACCAGCAAACTTTTCCAAACCTGGCAGCAGTAAGTAGAAAGATGAAAAATTTCAGTCCTTGACAGATGCTTGTTTCTATGTTTCAGTGCTATAATGATATAAGGCCACAAGTCTCTCCTTAAAGAGACTAAAATCTCAATCTGTGAAGCATTTTCAATAAGCCATAAAAGCTGTGAAATGTTGGGGTATTCTATGTCTTCAGACATAACCAACAAACATGTAGGAACACATGGAGACTGGAGTCTTTGGTTATGGCTTGGTTTATTGTAGCCGAAACCCTGTTACACCCTGCAAAACACAGCTGTACCACTCGTTCGCCTCCCCCACGTCCCAAAGAGTGAGTACCCAGATCCTTGTGCATTTCCCTCTATTGTAATCATCAGCCCTCTCCGTTCCCAGGTGGGCAATTCTGGTCTCAAACTTGGTCCAATAATTGCCCTCTAATTTCTCTGCTAAATCCCCTACTTCTCTTTATATTTTCCCTTACACATGATCATTGTTGCCATATCAGGGATTGTTAATGGGTGCCTGGCTGTCTCCATTAGTGACACCTGAAAGCTTGTGGTTTTGGAGTTTTCCATGTACCACCTCTGCAGGCAGACTCGATATAACTCCCCACATAAAATATCATCCTTTTTGTTACCACCAATGAGTTATAGTCTCAGACTGTCAATATCCTTACACAGAACATCATGTACAGTATGCAACTAATGTACATCCGCATACCTGTGTACAGTATGCCTAACACAGGGACAGCAGTGCCTTTTATGGTATTAGAGATGTGTGCCTGATAGTATAAGCAACCTGATGTTTCTTGAGCAATACTAACCTATATGTTGAGAATAATTATCAATTGTGCGCATTAGTGATATTGCATAATGTAATGAGTATTTTTTTTTACAGAATTTCCTATTATATCCTCCATGTCTTGTGATTATACTATGCTCTTCAACTCTATACAGTTTGGTAACTAGCGTTATATGTCTAAGAGGTGCATTTTTATTTTTAAATTAGAGGAGATATTGAAGACCCATATAGCACATTGGTGGTCTCCTGATGGCACCAGGTTAGCGTATGCAACAATAAATGACTCCAGAGTCCCTATTATGGAAATTCCAGTCTACACTGGCAGCCTTTATCCTACCATTAAAACATATCATTATCCAAAGGTAAGAGAAAATATAAACACATAGTCAATGCTTTTTTTGAAATGTTCACAGTTTTGTTTCTAGCTGACTCCACTATGGTAATGCATAATAGGACATATTTATAAACAGTACAATGAACAGAGAAAAGATCATTCATCCTCCATTGAACTGTTAAACTGTGGGCTTCATTGTTTTGTATCTGCTTCTGTAAAAGTACATTTTTCTGACACAGGTATTAGCCATTCAAAAATATAAAGCGAAAAAGTAAAGTCTAAACCCTTTTTCTCTCATACCTGGACAAAATCTGTTGTTTTGATGCTAGATGGGGTGTGATTACCTCTGAGATGTTGCAAACAAAATTATGTTTGTTGGTTTTATGCCTTTGCATCAAAAGGGCATTTGGGAAAATTAAGTACTTAGATTTTCCTGTAAAATTCAAGATGGACTAATAGTCAGGACAAATAGTCAGGATTCTGGGACACATTGTACTTTAGCTTTAGAGTAGAAAATGAACTGGGAATGGGAAAGGGCCAATGTTTCATTGTTTCATAGAGCCCTGCAGAATAGTGTCACTGTAGGTGAACAGCACCATATAAATCTCCAGCCAGTGTTGAAATATTATTAATTCTTTCTGCTGCACTATAATATGTTGCATGGTTCTGCATAGCTGCTTCCTTCAGACATCTCACCTTGTGTAGGGGGTGGTTCCCTCTGACCTCACATGCTAAGCCAGGTCAGACCAGCCACTCTTGAAGATAGGTGATGTCAAGAGAATAGTTAGATGCTGAAGGAAATGGTGCTGATGTTACGATAGGAGGTGCTCTTATGTATAACTCCATGTTTATGCAATATCCAACATGGCACTAAGAGACAGCCTACTCTTTTCAAATAAGGCATCAACTTGAGTTCCCGGTATTGTTGCTAAAACAACCATGACATTTTTCATAAAAGTGGTGAATGTTATCATCAGTGTTCTAGCCAAATTTCAATGTGGACAGTTACATCCTACCATCCTAAGTTGCTCATACATCAGTGCCTGGTCTAAACGGCTGTTTGATTTTTCTGTGCACTGTTAAACAGTTGCTGCATTCCAGCCCAGAAGTGGCTGAACTACATAAGAAAAGAACTTTTGGATTCCAATGCATTTTAGGATCTGTTCATATGAAAGGTTATAGCTATGAATGTAAGGTGTTATTTGTTGTAATATACTCTTGTTTTTAATTTCCAGGCTGGAATGGAAAATCCAAGCATTTCTTTACATGTCATTGGTTTGAATGGACCTACCCATGATCTGGAGATGACTCCCCCTGATGATCAAAGAATGAGGTATGTTGCTTAATATGTTGCGCATGTGGCTCTTTCATTATGCCACTGCCTTAAATCAAAGATTGACTTTATAAATATTAATTGCACAGACTTTTCCTTCACTAGTATTAAGTAATTTCATTCTGTGCAAATTAAAAAAAAAAAAGAAACTACTTGACCCACTTGAAAGAGATTTTTTTGCTCCTTAAGTGTGATGTTGAATAAAGGTTATTTTTGGTTTTTTTATTCTCCTTAAAATCATTTTCCTCAAGTATTAGACTGAGGGCCATTGTGAGAAAAGTCTTTAGGTCTGCGGTAAAATCCAGCTCAACAAATTGATGCTGATTTTCACAATTGTAAAGCCAATACTTTAATTCCAATTTTCCCCATATAGGGGAGACCTCCAAACTGGACCCTTGGGCAGACATATAACTACTGCAGTGCAAACACAAAACTCAGCTGCTTTGGGGCTCAAACATGAACTTGAAACAAAACAGGCTTTATACAAATACTTTTGATCCAAGAACCTTTCATCAAAGCAGAAGCAAAACTTTTGTGTTGATTCAGTATAGGCTTGAGTTTTTAGAGAGTAAGCCCCCCGATTCAACAAACTAGTTAAAGATGTGCCTATATTTAAGCATGTGCTTAAGTCTATTACTATTCAGCAAAGCACCTGAAAACCTGATGGGAAGTTAAGCCTATTTAGTGGCAAAAAAGCTATGTTAGTGCAAATTTAAAATTGCTTGGTGATATGTCATTCCCTCGTAGAACATTAAGATGAGGAAAAAACAAACTTCTGAAAACTAGGAAATGCAGAGTTAGGGTTGCCTAGGAAACCTTGCACTGCTCTCTTTCAGAAGTGCCCCAATACACCCCATTATCATACAGACTTTTACTCTGCTCACTCTACAATTGCAGAAATATCAGGTATCTAAAAGGCTATCACAAGGAGGGAGACAAATTGTTCTCCTTTGCCTCTGAGGATAGGACAAGAAGCAATGGGCTTAAACTGCAGCAAGGGAGGTTTAGGTTGGACATTAGGAAAAAGTTCCTAACTGTCAGGCTTTGTCTAGACTACATGCCTCTGTCGGCAGAGGCATGTAGATTAGACACATAGGCAAAGGCAAATGAAGCCGCGATTTAAATGATCGTGGCTTCATTTACATTTGCATGGCTGCTGTGCTGAGCCAACAAACAGCCGATCAGCTGTTTGTCGGCTCAGCGCGCTAGTCTGGACGCTCCCCTGCCGACATCAAAGCCCTTTGTCAGCAACCCCGGTAAACCTCATCCCACGAGGAATAACGGGGCTGCTGACAAAGGGCTTTGATCAGCTGTTGGTCGGCTCGGCGCGCCAGCCATGTAAATGTAAATGAAGCCGCGATCATTTAAATCGCGGCTTCATTTGCCTTTGCCAAAACAACAAATCTTCATGGCTCCGTCGACGGAGCCATGTAGTCTAGATGTACCCTCAGAGTGGTTAAACACTGGAATAAATTGCCTACGGAGGTTGTGGAATCTCTGTCTCTGGAGATATTTAAGAGTAGGGGATGGTCTAGACAGTACTGGGTCCTGCCATGAGGGCAGGGGACTAGACTTGATGACCTCTCAAGGTCCCTTCCAGGCCTAGTAGTCTATGATTCTATGAAATGTATAAGCCTTTTACAGACCGTTGGCTCCCACACACAGAATTCCATGTAGTACTGTTAAAGGGGGAAGCAAGTTATTAAATCTTTATATTGCCCAGGTGTACAAAAGATGGGACTAGAACTGTCATTGGTGGGATGCTCACTGGGGGCAACGATGTTGGCACAGTTCTTTGAGTGACCCAGGCAAGTATGAAATGTTTGCCTAGAGACCATTCCAAGGGTTTTCTTTACTGGTGCATGTGCACTGTAATTCCCCCAGATAGTACATCTAGGCAAATGAAGAACTGTACCTTCTCTTAAACACCATTCACCATTTGGGTCCTCCAGAGACCCTCTACCTATTCTCCCCCAGTCCTCCCCTGACACTTCTCTCATGTCCCTCTTTCCAGTGTCTCACCCCTCCACTTCCAGCTTCCCTCACTTGAGCTCCCAACCTCTCTGCCCTTCTTACTCCTGAGGGAATTCTCTGTGGGTGTGTCTAGACTTCATGCCTCCGTCGACGGAGGCATGTAGATTAGCCAGATCGGCAGAGGGAAATGAAGCCGCGATTAAAATAATCGCGGCTTCATTTAAATTTAAATGGCTGCCCCGCTCTGCCGATCAGCTGTTTGTCAGCAGATCGGGGCAGTCTGGACGCGCCGCGTCGACAAAGAAGCCTTTCTTGATCGGCACAGGTAAACCTGGTTTCACGAGGCATACCTGTGCCAATCAAGAAAGGCTTCTTTGTCGGCGCGGCGCATCCAGACTGCCCCGATCTGCCGACAAACAGCTGATCGGCAGAGCGGGGCAGCCATTTAAATTTAAATGAAGCCGCGATTATTTTATTGGAGAAGGTCCAGAGAAGAGCCACAAGAATTATTAAAGGCCTAGAGAACATGAGCTATGAAGGAAGGCTGAAAGAACTGGACATTAGGAAAAACTTCCTAACTGTCAGGATGGTTAAACACTGGAATATTGCCTAGGGAGGTAGTGGAATCTCCATCTCTGTAGATATTTAAGAGCAGATTAGACAGACATCTAACAGGGATGACCTGGATGGTGTTTGGTCCTGCCATGAGGGCAGGGACTGGACTCGATGACCTCTCGCGATCCCTTCCAGTTCTAGTGTTCTATGATTTTATGATTCAATGAATATCTAAGCACCTTCTGGGGTATCAGAATTTTCCCCATACTGTTTTTCGCATTGTCATTCTAAAGTGTTACTTTACAAATCCATTTACATTGATAAGACAGAAGTGTCACCAGCAAATACACTCAAAAATATGTAGAACAGGACTTGTCTTGTAAAAAAAAAAAACATTTCAAATTTGCATGTATCAAGCAGTGGCTCAGTGTCATGCGATTTAAGACCATCGTTAGTCATTTTTCTGTTGGACTGCTGAAAGGGAAATAGCATTGTCTATATGCAAAGTTCAAGCTAAAATTATTTAACATGGTTGTTTATAACAGCTTGAAACTGTTTATAGAAACACAGCATCTTCGTATTCTAATAAAGAGGTGTAGTGTGTGGGGGTCAGTTCTAACAATCATGGATAAAAATAATATATTTGATATAATTGAACAATGATGCAAAATATACCATAATTATTGACTCTTTGTACATTTCTTCAAAAACATAACATTTCTAAAGCATACTGCAAGCGGTGCTGCTAGTCTCAGAGGGGTACATTGTCAATATGCATATTTTTTCTAAAATGATATGCTTAGTGTGATTGTGTTTCATTAGAACAGACAGTGCACATCTCGTGTAGAAGTAGGGCTTGGCTATCCTTGAAAAATTGCCACACTGTATCTGCTCTGGTGTAGTGCTTCAGTGCAGACATTACCTGTGCTGACAAGAGGGCTATGTCTAGACTACGGCTCCATCGACGGAGCCATGTAAATTAGTTTATTCAGCATAGTCAAAGAAGCAGGGATTTAAATAATCCCTGCTTCATTAAAATAAACATGGCCACCACACTGTGCCGACGATCAGCTGGTGCAGCACAGCGCAGCAGTCTAGATGCGGCGTGGTTGACAAAGGAAGCCTTTGTCGACCGCTCCGGTAAACCTTGTTTCACGAGGCATAAGAATTTTCTTTAAGAACAAATGAGATTCACTATTATTGTCATTTATTATTTTTCCATTGAGGGCCATTGTGCTGGGTGCTGTACATGCAACAATAAAAAAGATGATACTTCCCCTTTTGAGCTGACAATCTACGATTGTGATAGGATGGATAAGGTGGATAGGCAGACATATGTCAGGTGGGGCACTCAGCAATGCATGTGGAGCAGTGAGGAATCCTGAACACTAAGGAGGAGTTTCAGTTTGCCCCTTGCCTAAACATTAACTAAGAAGAAATATAATCCAGTGGTTTGCATGGGACTTTAAAGATCTAGGGCCAATTCCATGCTCAACTACAAATTTCCTGTGTGACCTTGAGCAAGTTACTTAGTCTTCTTATAGCTCAGCCCTCCCGCTCCTCCCTCCCCCCCCAGACACTGTACAATGGGGATGCTAGCGTTTCCTTACCTCACAGGCAAGTGCTCAGCTATCATGGTAATGGAAGCCATATAACTACTTTGATAGCCATTTGATAATGTTCTGTAGGCAGTGTTAGAGGCAAGTGGTAAGTAGGGAATTTGATATTCCACTACCATCTTAATTTTCTGCAAGGTATTTTCTGCAAGCTTGTATGACATCAAAATGTAACATAGTTACTTCAGATTCTCTGCAAAATTTATGGAAAAATGCTCAAATCAACAATTTGTCCTAAATGAACATTTACTTTTACTTTTTTAATACATTTATTTATTGCCAAATGGGTTTTTTAGCACAATTTAATTTTGTGTGACCATTTCTCCCCTGCTAGGGAATATGCTACTGCTGGAGTAATATGACAATTTCTTTCAGCCACCAAATTTCCAGGACACTATTACCTTGCCCAAAGGTGCCCTATCTTCCTGTATTGTTCATGCAGCTGAACTCATTTGTTTTTTCCCCAGCCAAATTCATGCTCTAAATATTGCTGAAAGCTACAAAATTAATTTCCAGCTTGTTATTTTGCTAGACAAACAGATCTTTGTTGCTTTTGCCCTTTCTCTGCGGTCTATATGGGAATCCTTGCCAGAACACAGAGTACTCTCTAGTGACACAGCACATTAATCCCAATGAGAGAAACAACTCCTTATACATATTTTATAGCAAACAAATGAACTAATAAATTTTTATAGACTGCACTCTATGAGCAGTTATTGTATTATAATTTAAGGGTGTTTTTGGCCCACACACTCCTCCAGTATATTATTGTATCTCTAGATTTGTCAGTTCAGCAAGTGTCTCACCCTTTAGATGAATTCCTCTGTGACTGAACATGAACAGTTGTGATCACTACCATTAACTAGCTAGGAATTTGCATCTCCCATTATATTTATTTGTTTACCCATCTCTCCTCTCCACCCCAGGAACATTCAGTTTTTGCAATTTACTTTTATAAAGTCATTGGGGAAGGAACCGTCCTTGATTATATGTTTGAACAGCACCCTGCATAATGAGATCCAAGCTGATTGTGCTCCTTCAGAGCTACCATAATGTAAACGTTTAATAATAATAATACGATGACTGAGATTGTGGGCCAGTTTCTGATGTAAACCAGGGCAACTCCATTGACTTCTTTATACACATTTTTGCTGTGCAAAACACCTGCAGTCTGACTTTGTATTCCTTAAAACTAGTTTATTTTCAGCATGGCGCCACTATTAAAGAATTGTTTCATACTGCTTCTAGTGGGATCTTTGAATGGGAGATTAGTTTGCTTTCCAGATTCCTTAGCTGGGTCACACCTCTTGGGCCAGAGCCACCAGAATCTATAAACCACCTCTTTTTATTCCTCTCCAGACCCTAACAGGTAATTTAACTAATATGCATATTTAGAGGCAATTAGTTCTATATGAGAATTGAAATAGTCCATGCTGTGGTCAGAAGTTACCAATGTGGGGTCCTGACAGATATGTCTACACTAGCCCCCTAGTTCAATCTAGGGAGGCTAATCAGGGTGACCGAAATTGCAAATGAAGCGCGGGATTTAAATTGACTAGCCTGAAGTAACTGCCCGTGTCTACACGCGGCAGTGAAATGGGATTCCGAATTAAAGCCCTACATTGAATTAGCTGTTATTCCTTCTGCAATGAGGGATAATCAATTCCCCCTAAGCCAGACAGAGACAACTCCTCCAAGACACAAATTTATATACAGGGATTACATTGCCACCCTCTGACATTACCCATATATCATCCATTACATTGCACCTCATGATTCAATCAAAACATCTCTGTCCAACATACTGTCATTTTTTATGCTGTCCTGAACCTGGGTCAGTATGTCTCTGTTATCTGCGGGGAGTGTGTTAGTACTAAGCTGTTCTTAATGAGGTGATGTTACCATCCCTCTGGAATGAGCATACAGCCAGTGCCTAGTACCAATTAGTATTTCTACACTATCAGCCCTGTTCATGCCAAGTTCTCAGTACAGGTCCTGTCTCTTGCTCACAGCTTAATTTTCCTTTATATTAGCAAAGTCTTGACCATTGTTGGCTAGGCCTTGGGCCTCGTACCAGGACTGTGGCTTATGGTTTAAGCCCTCATCTTACTACACATGCAATTTGTTTATTTGGTCACATATGCTCGGGTATGTAGCCACATGCATTTTCCACCTACTGTTGAGAGGTTCTGAATAACATATGCGATGTTGTGTTGTTAGATTTGACTCCTATGAAAAACAAATTTTACAGCTAACATGCAGAATGGGAAGTTGGAGTTACATGCATAGCCCTAAAAATGACGTTTTCAGGGGTTTATATGAATGCATAACTTGCCCTAGAAAGATCAAGACAAAGATGTTCTAATAGCAATAGACTTTTCCTTTCACATCCATTCATTCTAGGGCCCACAAACTCCAGTGATTTGCTGAGCTGAAAAACATTGTAGCATAAGTATCTCTTGCACTATTTTAGTGATGTAAACCTGAAGCAGTGACCACTGAATGCATTTACATGTTTCCAGGGACTACTACATAACCATGGTGAAATGGGCCACTAGCACCAAAGTGGCAGTAAATTGGCTAAACCGGGCACAGAATGTTTCTATCCTGACACTGTGTGATGCTACCACTGGAGTCTGCACAAAGGTAGGAAAGACTCTTAAAAGAAAATTGTTTGACCTTCCATTTGTGTAATCCTCACGAGGAGAATATCCTTCAGTTCTTTTATCTGAAAGTGGATTACAGTACTTTATGTATAGAAAGAATACAAGAGACATGCACAATATTTGCTGAGCAAGGAGTGTGGGCTACCTGTGGCCCACTACAGAAAAGAAAAGCTAATCACAGTCCAGTCCTATCTGTGCAATGTTTGTGTGTGTGTATAGAGAGAGAGGAGAGAAAGTGAGAAAATCTATAGGTGCATTCTCTGTTGTGAACTCTCACACACATACCCTTACTATTTTTAACTTTGGTGTCCTTTTTAACATCTGAGCTCAATAGAAATACACATGGATTTGTCTATACAAAATTTTGTACCAATTTAGTTAAATTGCTCCTATTCCCTTATGGGGGCACATTTATACACACATAGTGACATGTATATCACTATCGTTTGTTTCAGTACCAACATATAAACACCTTTTAACTGGTACCTCCACGCTAGCGGGGGGATATGCACCAATTTTGGTTTTCGAACTAGTACTGTTAAAGTCAGTGCAAACTATGTGTAGTCAAGGCCCACATGAAGTTGCTGGGAATGGCATACAACAACTAAATTGCTACTTTCTTTAGGGAATAATTTATCTGTTGGGATTCTGTTTTTTGTCAGTATGATAACATGCCTTCCCATATGCTCACTTGCTTGTTTATCAGAGAGCAACAATAGAGGACAAGAAGAGCAGCCCAAGATTACATTCTGAAACAGCATGCTTGAGCAGTTCCTCGCTGCTTGTTCACCCCTGTTCAAATTCAGTCAAACTACTTTCTGCACTGCTGAACAAAATGTAACCCAGGAAAACGACACTATTTAATTATGTTGTTTCATTTTAGAAACATGAAGATGAAAGCGAAGCCTGGCTACACAGACAGGTAACAGTGATATTCTCTTCATTATTATACTTTCGGATGGTTCCATGCACCTCTCTTTCCCCAAGATCAAAAGCTTATTTTTGGAACTCCAACTGGTACTTTGAAATTGTGATGGTTCGTATTGGGATTTTCTTAACTAAATACATAAGCTCTTCTGGTTGAAGTAAGGAGCATCTCCACCTAATATAGCTGAGATACTTTCTTACATAGCAGACCCCAGTGGCTGGAAATTTAATTCCCAGCATATGTTGAACCTGAATTGAAACAATCTAAAAAAACAAATGTGAGGTGGAATTTGCCGAGAGCCAACACATGATCTGTCCTGTACTGAAGTCCCTGACCAAGCTCTTATTTTGGGGCTTACCTTGGGTTTAAGTGGTGTATTGGCCTTTTGCCATACAGGTGTATTCTGCACATTGCAATTAAATGTTCAAAAGCCAAATTTTCATAAAGAATCTAAGTGACTTAGGAGCCTAAGTCCCATTTTTGAAAGTCACTTAGATGTTTAGAGGTCAGAGTAAAATATTCGAAACCATCTAAATTGTGTTTTAAAATCAACATGACTTTGTGCCTGAGTCATTTTTTGAAAATGACACAGGCTCCTGAGTCTATGCTACATACCATATCTCGCAGCGTGTGGGATATGTGCAACTTCATCCACACTGTGTTGTGCAGCTATACAAGTCAGGGTAAGAATCTGCTTTCTCCATTGCCTCCACCATGTCCAAGCCTTTCCCTCCTGGCTTCTTACTGCTGAAATCTTTCCCCGCTGCTAGAGTCTTTACCCCGGCCAGGAAGGGGTCTAGGTGTGGGGATAGG